GGTTCAGGTTTGGCTGTGGGAGCTGCAGAGGGTTCAGGTTTTCCTGCCTGCTCTGCCGTTGTCTGATTGATTTCAACGCGGACCCTTCTTTAAGTGGCTCTGATTGCAGGAAATTGCTGTGGCGTGTGACACATGTCACAACAGTGCAGTGATTAAAGCCCCCGCGTGTCATTTACTGACTGATTGAGCTAATCACACCCAGGGAGTGGGAAATGTGTGGAGAGGAACTGGCATTCCTCATTGTTAAGGGTTTTAAGCGTCCAAATAAATGACAGTTGGATTGGAATGTCTTTGAATTTACATCCTTGGGAGCTCGCAGCCAGTACCCAAGTGTGTCATGGTAGGAGGGAGAGCTGCCTTGCTTCAGTTTGAAGTGTATCTTAAATAGTTCTGACTCTAAGGAGGTACCAAAACTAGCATTTGGGTGAGCTTCAGTGGCTGAGTCTTTGTTGGGGTGAAGTGGGAATGCAAACTCTTTCTTCTTAATCCTTTCGAGAACATTTTCTGCTGACACTGAGTGCACATGGTCACTCCAGAATTATATGGCGTTGTGTGGTTTTGTGTTGCTGCTCTCTTACTTCTCTGCAATTAGAAAGAATGAATTTGGAGTCAAGTTTCCTGGTTTTTCAAATTTCCACCTCCACACCTTGCTTGTGTGGTCTTCCTGAATGCAAGGGTGAACTGTGTGTCAGAACTCTGCTGGGCTCTTGGGTTGAGCTGTGACCCAGGAGCAGTGTTGATGTTATATTGATATTGATTGTGGCCCAGTGAAAAAATAAGGAGGAAAATAATTTCTGAAAAGGAAGAAAATGAAGTTTCTCAGGCAGGTGTGGCTGTGAGATGCTCTGGTACCCCTGTATTGCTGCTGACTAACTCTGGGAGTCGGGCAAAGCTGCTGCTCCATCCAGATGTCATCCCAGGCTTGTATTCCAAACCTCTTCTTTCCTTCTTCTCACCCTTTAGGTACAGAACCCTGGTCCTTCTACTTCATCAATGGCTTTCTGAATTTCAACGTGGCTTTTATTCTGGCACTGCTGGTGCTGCCACTGACCTGTCTCATGGAGTGTCTGCTGCAGAAGTTCCATGGTGAGTGCAGGGAGAGCCAGGCACAGCCAGCCCAGACCTCAGCCTGGGACTGCAGGCAGAGCTTTAGCCTGCCAAAGAGCAGCTTTGCTTTGTTGGGAGTGAAACTGGGCTCAGCAAAAGTCTTTGGAGTAATAGGAGAGTTCCTGGAGGTCATTACTGAGTCCAGGATTGTTCCTTGCCTCCACCTCCAGAAGGACAATGTGTTTTCAAGGCTCAGAATTTACCCATACCCAGAGCAAGTTTAACAAGGGGTGTGGTACCCAACCCTCAGTCTGACATTTCAATAATCTTAAGGGGGAAAGAAAGTGTGTACCTGTAGTTTCCATCTGGTCTGCAGCTGGAAATGGGAACTTTTGGAGTAACTGGGGGACGTTTTTGGGGTTGAAGTGGGCTCTTCTGTGCACTGTGAAAGGCACTCTTGAGCTCACAGGACTGAGCCCTGGCAGGACTGCCCATGCTTTGGGAAGTGTCCCCAAGGGTGTGGATATACTGAGAGCAGGAAAAGGAGGAACCAGAATATTCCCTGCTTCAGGTTGGGCTTTTTCTTAAATAAAATGACATCAGTTTAAGCACATGACATTTGGTAAGGGACTCTGGAGAGGAAGTGTGAATTCTTCTCTGCTGTTTTCCTGAGGAAGATTCATCAAGTGTCAGCAGCAGCCTCCAGATTCATCAGTCCAGTCAGTGCTTTGCTCTCTCTCTGATTTTTTTACTGAATACAAGAAGGAGAAATATCATAATCCCCCATGAAAATGTGTGTTAACGGGTGTTTGCTTGTATCTGTTCCTTGGCTATGACTGACATACTGTCAGGAACCAGTGAAAGCTCAGTAGGAGATCCTGTAAATGCAAGATTTCCTGCTGTTCACTTGGTGTTCTTGTGCTTAACAGCAGGAGCGATTCTGCCAAGTGCTTTGTTCACATTGTCTGTGAAATGCCGTTGGCTTAATTGCTTAACTCTGCTGTTGGGAGTAGTAAGGGGGCAGAGAAGGGACTGCAAATTGTCAGGCAGTGCAGAACCCTCCTCAGTGTGACTGAAATTCAGGGTAATTGTTGTTATTTTTGAATCATGTATTTCCTCTGTTAAGCAGAAGGCGCCTGAGAGACCTCTCATGCTGTTATTTTTGTAATGAGGCAATGAGGGTTGTGGAAACTTCAGTCCACAAACAAGCCTTTGTAAGGGGAGAGGGGGATCCAGGGGAGATCCTTTCTGATCTTTGTATGTACAATACCCAGCAGGAGATCTGCTTCTGACTGCCTGATTTGTCAGTCCTTGGTGGGTTTTGTCTCTTCCTTGGGTTCAGTGATGCAGTCCCTTATTTTCTGTCCTCCTAAATCTGTTGGAGTTGTTAGTATTGTAGGAACCTGTAAAAATTCCCTGATGAAAATTCTGTGCTGACTGTTGGGACATGTTTCCTGGATTTCAGCAACGTGGGTGCTCAGAACAGGCTGTGTTTGTGTCTGAAGGCAACGGTTTGGGTCTGGAGAACAGGCTTGGAGGGTGAGATGTGACTGTGCCAGGGAGGGGAGTGGGTTAAACCCCTCATTTCTTGCTGCTGAGTTTCTGTTTCTTCCAGTTCAGAACCTGGGCCGTCCCTACTGGCTGACCCTGGCTCCCATGTACATCTGGATCCTGATTTTCTTCAGCCAGCCCCACAAGGAGGAGAGGTTTCTCTTCCCCATCTATCCCCTCATCTGTCTCTCTGGTGCTGTGGCTCTCTCTGCTCTCCAGGTAAGTTTTAGTGGAACATGGTTTTAGATTAAGGTCACACCTTTAGAAAAAACTAATTTCCAACTGATTTCTTTTAACATTGCTTCCCAAAGTTTGGGGACTGCAGAATATCTGTGCCTGTGGCACAGTTCAGGACTGTCCTGTGCATAGCTTTGGATCATCATCTTTAATCTGCAGCTGGTACAGTTTAATATTTGAACCACGTTTCATGGACAGGTGTTGAGACTGTGGAAGCAAAATACTCAGCCCTTCTGGTACTGAAGTGTTGCTGATTTTACACATTAAACCACAATCTTCCTGTGCAGGTTGACTGAGAGTGTGTGGAAAACTATTATCCCTCTGTAAGATGTGATGTAAAAGCAAAAATATTTGGGATTTCCCTCCTGAGTGTCGTACAGAATGAGCTCAGCTGATAATTCTGGATTTGAGTGCAGCAAAAACAGATCAAATTTCATGGCTTTATAAGGTGATCCCATCAGGAGCTTATCCAGGATTGTCTGAAGTGATAAATAGCTGAGAATATTCCCTTGCCACTGATTATTTTGTGTTGGCTTTGGGTTGTTCTCCCATCCCCAGTGGGAATTCCTGGTGGGAAGCAGTTGAGATGTTGTGGTGCCAGCACAGCCCAACACCCAGGAGATGCCATGAGGGTTGGTGACTTGGTGACAGCATTGGGGCCTCCTTTGTCTGGTGGTCAGGGCAGGAATGTGGGTGTGTAGGATTCTGGTGAATCCTTCACTGGCTTGAAAAAGGAAAAGTGATGTTGTTTAGATGCCGGGAAACTGTGTTGGATACTTGCAGGAGCCAGAAACTGGATGTTTAGTAAATATCTCTTGAAGCACTTCACAGAGCAAAGCACTAATAGAGACTGATATAAACCTTCCCAGAGTCAAAAATATTCATCTTCCCCTGTTCAAAAGGCTCAGGAATGCAGCCATTAGTCCCTGCCTGAGCCTGTTCCTGCTGATTGGCCTCGTCCTGCTGTTCCTCCTGTGTCTTGCTGAGCACCAGTGGCAGCTCCTGCCCTGGGCTCCCCACCAGCACTGCCTGCACCCCTCAAACCTCTCACTCTTCCCTCCTGACTGCTCATCTCCCATCACTGCTGGTGTTCCAGTGCCCACCTGGAGTCCCCCAGCTGAGTTTCAGTCCTTGCACCCATCCAGGACCGAGCTCCAGTGTCAGCAGTTTTGTGGCTCTGCCTGTCACAACATCACAGGGTGTTGGTTTAGGACCTTTGCCAAACATGGCTTTAGAAAGAAATCCAGTGTACATTTCTGCCCTGCATTTTTTAGCACTGCTGGATGACATTTTGCCCAGTATAGAGTGTCCAGCTGGGAACTGAGAACTGATTGCCCACCAGCAGTCCAGGCTGGTCACTCTGCTCCTCCAAACCACGTGGATGTGACTGTCATGAGGAAAATGCAAACAGGACTAGAGCAACAGAAACCAGCTGAGGGAAGGAAGTGAATAACCAGAAAGGGAGAGCAGGAGGGAGGGCCCAAGCCAAGGACTGGATGTATTTCCTTCTGAGTGTCCCCAGAAAGGCTTTTACATTTAAAAAAAAACCCAAAGGCTTTTCCTTCATCGGTTTCAGAGTGGCTTTGTGTGTTCTTTCGTCCACTTCAGAGCTGGAGTTGGTGCAGGCAGGGTAAACAACTGCAGGTCACCCAGGAAATCTGGGTCATGGAACTCGTGTTGGAGAGCAAGTCAGTGCAGGCTGGAAAATGAGGTCTGGCTGTGCAGGGCAGTTCTGCAGTGTCTGAAAGGTGCTCCTGCCTCACCTGGGAACAACCCAGCTGGAGCACTGCTAGAGAGCACTTGACAGCTTTGACCTGAAGTCTGCCTGGGGAAAAGAGCTGAAAACTTCTTTTAATTACCTTGGATTTAACTTAAAAAATGTGACTGAATTTCTGTGCGTTTCGATGAGCCCGAATTAAAAAAACCAGAGAGCAGAGACCTGGAGGGAGATGCAGCCGCTGCTGCAAGGTCCTCATGGAAGACAGGATCTTGCTAAACAGATTTTGAGTAATTTTATGTTGTTTCTTTTTTTTTTTCCCCCCACTCTCTCCTCAGAAATGTTACCACTTCATATTCCAGCGGTACCGCCTGGAGCACTACACGGTGTCCTCCAACTGGCTGGCCCTGGGCACCGTCTTCCTCTTTGGCCTTTTGTCCCTGTCCCGCTCTGTTGCCTTATTCAGAGGTTGGTATTTTACAGGAGGTTGGTGTTTTGCACCTGCCCTGTGCTTTCCTGGGCCTTTGGCTTGGCACAAGTTGTGCTGCTTTGATTCCGGCGGCGGGTAAAATAAGGAATCTCCAAAAGTTTGGATGTCGTTGCTGCAGGGAGGGGAATAAACTTTAATTAATTTAATCACCATTAATGAATGGTTATATATGTGTGTGTCTGCATGCACATTCATCCATAAATATGTATATATTCACATATGTATGAATAAACCACTGGAATTACATCACTCACAAATCTGCCCCTCACCTTCAGCCAACACAACTCTACTGATACAAAAATGTACCCAGACTGGTACTGAAGCAGAGACTTCAGCTTTCAAATACTTGAAACAGCATTTTCCCCATGTAAAACTTGGAATTGGGTGCATATGTCCTTAATGGAGATGGATTGGACACGTTCCTTAAGAACCTTCTGGAATGGGAGCCATGCAGTGAGCCTTCCCAACCTCAGCAATATGAGTTTGGATTTTGGTGGCCACTGCCAGGACAGGGAAACGTGAATAAAGAATCTATGCTAAAAAGAATCCAGCCACTTTTTAGCACAGACCATTTCATTTATTCAGGAAGTTACCAGTTACGTGTGAACGAGCTTTCTGTAGGCTTTCCAAAGCAACCACGGAAATGCCCCTCTTATTCTGATTTTTCTGCCTTGCACAGGCTACCACGGGCCCCTGGACCTGTACCCAGAGTTCCACAGGATTGCCACTGACCCCAGCATCCACACAGTGCCAGAGGGGAGGCCAGTCAACGTGTGTGTGGGGAAGGAGTGGCACAGATTTCCAAGCAGCTTCCTGCTGCCAGAGAAGTGAGTGCTTTCGTGCCAAAGGCACAGTTGGGTGAGGGGCACTTCTCCTGAGTGTTGTGGGGGTGACCCTCAGGTCTCAGCTGGCACCAGCAGGTGTCCTTGGCTGTGCCTCTGGTTGTCCCCACACAGAATGTCACTGGATTTTCCCTGTTCCCTGCAGTTGGCAGCTCCAGTTCATCCTGTCGGAATTCAGGGGCCAGTTACCCAAACCCTTTGCCAAGGGCCCCCTGGCCACGAGGATCATTCCCAGTGACATGAACGACCAGAACAAGGAGGAGCCATCTCGATACGTGAGGATTCTGTTCCCCTTTCCTTTTCCTTACCTTGCTCTGTAATTCCTTACCTAACTGCATGATTACTGTATAATTTGTATTAATATCGTTCCCATGGCTGGGTCTCCCTAATTTATTTCCTGGGGGGAAGTTACAGAACAAAAATTATCCCTCTGCAGCCCTGGGAAATTTCAATTTCCCCATTGATGTGAATGTTTTCTGTTTGAATTTCATCTGCCCATTTAAAGGCATAATAAAAGAAGCAGAAGCAGTGATAGTTCCCAGTTGTTGCAATTTTGGGTTCAGCATACAGTGTGTGAGCACAGGAAGGTGAACTGAATGAGTAGTTTGAAGTCCCCCACAGAAAATATTTTGAAATTTTGCTCTGTACTTTCATGTCTTTTTAAATATAGAAGGATTCATCACATTTGCAGCTGAGAAGGAGGAACTTAATTTGGAACTCCACTGAAACAATTGCATCAGTGATTTCAGTGGGAATCTTTTAAGATAATGTACACTGGTATTATTGATTGATGCTTTTAATGTCTGTATTGTGTTGCCTAAACAAAAGCAGTGCACACATATGAATATTTTAAAATTATATTAATGATATAAAAATAATTTAAAATTATTCTTTAGAATTAACAGGTTAAATCTTGGCAACCTGCTGGGTTAAATCTCCCTTCTTTTGAGGCTCATTATGCAGTTACAGGAATGGGAAGGAGGCGTGTTCCCACCTGAGAGGAGCTGTCTGCTGCAGTGCATTTAATTTATGAAATCTTTAACTGTGGCATATTTTTAGCACAGACAGCTGGCTGGTGCTCAGCCTGTGACTAATGGAGCAAAACACACTTTTGTTTCATGCTTGTCTCTTAATGTCACCCTACTACTTGGTTATTCCTCATGCAAGCAAAAGGGCCCAGAACATTAAAAAATCAGCCACTAAATGTTAATTTTAAATTTGGGTTTAAGGCTTTGACTTCTGACCTGCCAGTAGCACCAAGAGATCAAGGCATTTTCTTGAGCTGAGTGAGCTTAGGAGTGCAAGCACACCCAGATTTAAATAAAAAAAAAATAGAAGGACTGTGATAGTGAGTAAATCTAAATAGCACGAGCCTGTTGGCCATTTAAAGGGGAGAAAACAAATGGTTCAAGAGGATTATCTGAGCCATGGAGCTTCAAACCCATTAATGGCTTCAGAAATGGGGCTGGTCTCGTCATTTCAGGTGCAGGTCTCTGTTCCTGCTCTGATGGAAAATGGAAGGGTGAATCTCAGTGTTTCTGTTGCTATGAGACACTGGGGAGAAGAGTTGATTTGATCTTGTTTTGCAGTTCTTCCTTCCCTAATCACGTTGAGCAGCACTTGCCTTGCACTTGTCCTACCAGGGAGGTGCATTTGTCCCTGAAGCTGCTGAGAAGGAGATGAGGAGCATTATTTCCTGCAGAAATGTGTCCAAGCAGGAACAGCAGATCAGGCCTAAAAGCTGAAACTGTTGTCAACAACTGACTTCAGAGGAAGTTTGGGGGTTTTTGACCGCTTTCTTTTCACTTGTAGCAGCCCTCCAGAGCCCAGTGAGAGACAGCAGCAGCTGTGCCCTGAGCTCCAGCTCTCTGCTGTGCCCACTCCTGTTAGTCAGGGTGGCACCAAATTTAGCTTCCCCACCACTCAGCACTGCAGTTGCATCAAAGAAAGAGAGAGTGGGAGGAGGAAAAGGAAAGGAGAAGCGAGGAGGGTGGGATGTGATTTAGAAATCCCCTGCAGCTTTGTTCACTGAATGGTTTCTTTGCACAGGGAAACGTTTCAAGGTCTGTGCATCACCAAAGCCTGGTGTAAATGCCCAAATAAATGCACAGGTGCTGTGTTGGCCCTCTGACCAGGGTGAATGTTATCCTTGGCTTCAGTGCAACTTCTAGGAATGCTCTGTGTTCACTTGGAATTGTACAGGGGAAGTCTTTCACCTGGCATTTTAAGTGCCTGCCCTTCTAGGGGAGAATTTAGAATGTGAGATTAGTCTTAGTGCTTGAGGCAGTAACTTGCCTTTCTCTGAATGATTCTACATCACTTACAGGAAAACTTGGTTAGTGCTTTGGGAGTCTTTTTGCTAATGAGCCAGAACCTCTCCCAGGGCCTGGAATGTTCTTCTCACACAGTGCAAGGAGTGGATTCAACATTCTCCTCAGCCGAGTTTCCCAGGGTGTAATTTCATTTGCCACTGAGCTGTGATGCCACAGAGCCATCTGCTATCCACCTAATTAAATTGTTTTCAGCCTAAATCGTTACATTAAACCCCAAAGGTGCTTCAGAAGAGTGATTTCAGGCATGTCCAAGGAAGTTTGCAATCAAATTCTGTGGGAGATTACAAGACTTGCCATGGGATGACAGGACTAAAGCCCTCAAATGCTGTGAGCTCTGCAGAGTTAACAGGCTGTGGGGGTTGTGTGACCCTTGTGGGTACCCCATCCTGGTCTGTGTGTATTCAAATGTTGCTCTGTATGTGTAGCCAGATGAGCTGGAATTGTGTGCAACTGGTTGTAAAAGGCATGAAAAATGAGGTGAGCGAGTGATTTCTTTTGCAGGAGGCTGTCGGATGGGCATGAACCAGGAAAAAGATTCAGTGCAGAGATCAGGAGACATTTCTAACCATAAAGACAGTGAAGTGTTTTGCCCGGGGAGCTTGTGGAGTCAGCACTGTACAAAGTCTTTAATAGCTAATTAGACAACCACTGAGAAAAGCACCAACAGAATCCGTTCTGCCACCTCTGTGACTTGACAGTTCCTCAGCAAGGGAAGCTGGCAGTGGTCCTGCCTCAGAGAGGGACCTGAGGATGCTCCTCCTGGGAGGAAAGCAGCCTGTGTTCCCCCAGGAAGGTTTTGCTTGAGAACATTTAGAACAGGTTACCGTGTATCCTGCAGGAAGCCTTTCCCCTGCTGCTGGAAATTTAACCCTCTTCCCATTGCTAAGTAACATAACAGCCTGTATAAATAAACACATAGAGCCAGGAACCCGCAGGAAATAAAGCACAAGGATGTCTTTCTTTCTGCAGATTGACATTTCCAAATGCCACTACCTGGTGGACTTGGATACAGCAACTGAGACCCCCAGGGAGCCCAGGTATTCCTCCAACAAAGAAGAGTGGGTGACCATTGCCTACAAGCCATTCCTTGATGCTTCCAGGTATGTTCTGCACGTTTGGGGGTGAGGGCTGGCAGGGCTGGGCTGTCTGCTTGCAGGAGGAGCTGTGCACAGGGAGGAGAGAGGGTGACAAATGCCAGTTTGAAGTCCAGTTTCCAGTAAAGGCAGCTTGCTGGCCACAGTGGAACCTTTGTCAAACCTGTGCCTGCAATATTTATGACCTAAGAGGGTGAAACCAGCTGAGGAGGGTGGTGAGAAGGATTATTTTTAAAAAGAATCCTCCCTGTGCACTCCTTCCTGAAGCAGTGTTTTTTGGTTTGCTCTCCAGAGAAGGGAGGTGGATGTCATCTCCTCCCAGCATCTCCTCCCAGCAGACCTTTGAATCTGCTGCTTTGTTTCAGCCAAACTCAAGGCAGGTACAAGTCAGTCTCAGAGGGCATGAGCTCTTACAGGCTTCATGAAAGCTGGCAGACAGAGAGAGGAGGCAGTCAGCAAGGGCACACCTTTCTTAGGCATCAGAAAATCCATGCAAGAGATCACTGTTAGAATCTGTCCCTCAGTAATTCTGCTGCTCACTGAACAACTTGCCTGTGTGTCTGAACAGCAGTTCCTGTGAGAAGCAGAGGTTGGGTTTGCTCTCCTCCTGGCTGACAGGGGGTGAAGTCGGGGCTGTCAAACTGGGAGTGTTGTTAATACAGCCCTGCAAACACAGAAACCCTCAGCTGTGAGTGGGAGGTTATTTAGCCTTTGAAAGCTCTGGTCATGTCGTTGTCATACCAGGACAGAGGGGCTGACTGGAAAAACCTCTGTAAAAAACCCACCCAGGGTTCAGTGCCCTCCTGTTTTCCGTGGGAGAACTTATTACTTCCTAGTACAAGGACCCTCCAGGGAGTGGGGCTGGTAAAGGCAGCTGAGCAGAGAGAAAGAGTGATAATAATGATGGAGCAGCTCCCAGGGGAGCTCTGATGTTCCCAGCCTGCTGACACAAACAGGTTTCCTTGGCAAGGCCTTTCCTGAACGATGTTTTCCAAGAGCCCTGCTGTCACATTTGGGCAGGACTTCAGGAAGGGAGAACGAGGTGGCCAAAGAGTCTTATTAGTGAGGAAAGAGAAGCATCTGCACAAGAGTTTTGCAAAGGACTCCTCGTGCAGAGTGTGTGCCCTTAAATGTGCGTTTCTGCTTTGAAGGCTCGTTGGTGTGTATTTAGAGCTGGTTTATCTTGCTGTTCTCCACTGAACAGCCAAGCTTTGATTAGTTGGACCTGATCTAAAGTCCTTTGAAGTCAGTCAGGTCCAGATGAGCCTTTAAGACCCCTTGGGTTAACCCTGGGGATGTAATTTGCTGGGGGTGCTTTAGAGGCAGCTCTGCTGCAGAGGTTCTACCTGCCTGATGAAAGCCAAGTGAGTTATTCTGGGGTGACTGACTGTCTCACAGACTTCTCCAGGATGTCCTGGATTCTCTGTGGCTTCTTTCAACACAGAATTCCTCATTTTTCCTGTGCTTGGCTGATGTTTGGTCGAGGGGGAATTGGTCTGTCTCATGGGCTTTTTGGGTTATTGCACTTCCAGCCTCCACCCATCGCCTCTGAATTTTTGATTAAAGCTCATGTGGGATGTACCACAAACCACTGCTCTCTCTCCTGAACCCATTTCAGATCCCCTGAGAGGCTCAGTGCTGAGCTGAGTCCTTGTCACTCTCTTCTCAGCTTTAGTGCTGTTTCCATGTAGCCACTGACATTTTTTTTCCTTCTTTTTTCCTCCCTTCCTTCTTGATAGGGGAATTTCCCTACTTACAGCTAAAACCCCTGCATCCTGCCAGGCATCCCTGGCTGGCTGGCCCTCAGGAATTTGGCTGAACACACAGGTAGATGTGGTGGTGGAGCTCTGCTCTTCCAGGGGAGATGCTGTCAAAGCACTTCCTGCCAGACAAGAGGCTGGAAACTTATTCCCAGGCTTGGCACTGAAAACCTGTGCAGTCATTTTGATTTGATTTACGATGCTGTGTGTTGCATTTAGATCCTCCAAACTCCAAGATCCCCAAGCAGTGTGTTCCTGGCTGGCTGAGGATCCCTGCAAGCCTGCAGCCAGACTCCAGTAGCCCACTCAGTTCTGTGTGTGGTCCTTCACGTCTGCCTTGGGAAGGGAGGCTGCTCGTGGCTGTTGCTGCTGGAAGTGATGCCTTGGCTCATTGTAGCAAAGGCATCATCTCACCATGGAGCAGCAGCTTGTTGTGGGAAGCTGGGAGTCACAGGGAGATCCTGGAACTTCAGAGCTCTGAGCCTGGTGATGGTGAGATGGGAAAGGCAGAACATGAGGGGTGGGAAAGGGGAGCAACTGCCTGGCTGAGCAGTGACAGATCATCTGAAGGTGAAGGGGATCATTCTGGCTGCTGTGTCCTCCTTGGCAAAAGCTGCTGCATCTGTGGGAGGCTGGGATAGAAGAGGGTTTGCAGAGCATGTCCCGGGAGGAGATGAGGAGACCGGGCAGCCCCATCCTCAGCCCTGTGGTGTCACCTGTCAGCCTCCCCTGCTCCCATTCCTGTCATTCCCGGGGCTGTTCCTTATCAAGGCAGCACAGCTGGAGCAGAGGGGAGCTGTGGTGCCTTCAGCAGTGGAGGAGGCCAGGTTGCCATGGCAGCAGGGCTGATTTCCATCCCTGCTGTTCCCACCTCCTGCAGTTCCAAAGGCTGAGCTGTGCCCTGGCACAGACCTTGGCAGGGGGGGCAGCTCCAGGGCACAGGGCTGGGAAGGACTGGGAGGGCCTGGGCTCACCCAGGGGGTATCAGTGACTCTGAGGGGGGAGAGAACCAGGTACATCTCCCGAGCTTGTCTCCCTGAACCTGGAGAGGAACAGTTAAGGCAGGAGCAGCTGCCCAGCAGTGGGCACAGCTTCCCAGGACAGCTCAGGGTCCAGTGAGGAGCAGGGAGAACAAACCACACAAGGCCTGATCTGCCCTGTTTCGAGCCAGTGTGGCATTTAAAGGTGTCACAATTATAATTGGATGCTGCAAAAAAAGTCAAGGCCCCTTTTGCCAGCTCATCCACAGCAGCAAAGGACATTGGAGAGCAGCTCTCTTTGCACTGCATTTCTCATCATTGTTGTCATATATATTTTAATTTCTGTCTGTAATTAGGCCCTTGGAGAAGAGGCAGGGTGGATGAGTGACTAGGGGGCTCAGTGGGATTTGGTGTTCCCATGACTCTGCCCTTAAACCCTCCCTGTGTTGCAGTTTCCCATTTGGGCCAAAGGTTTGTTAGGTCCCCACTTATCTCCAGGAGCTTGTTGGCAATGCATGAAAGAGTAAGGAGCTTAAACTTGAGAACAGCAGGGACAGGTAAATACCTTTGCATTGTTTGGCACCCAAGTGTTGGAATTTTGCTGCAACATCCATATAAAGGTTTCCCATGGCAAACGTTCACAGTCGGGCTGTTGAGCTCCGAGTGCGTCAGAGCATTTCTAAAATAAGACAAGTGTTGTTTGCTTTGGTTTTCTTCCCTGAGTGTGCATGAGTTGTAACCTGCATCAAATCTTGGGGCTCCAGCAGTTCCCAGCAGGGGCAAGGACCCAGTTTTTGCAGCAGATTGGCAGATGAGGGGGGCAGTGGCAGCCCTGCCTGGTGGTTCAGTGAGGTGCCAAGGTCTGGCTCACCCTGCAGAGCCAGGCATTAACTCTTGTCCTTGGGTGGAGATGGGAAAATCTCCTTTGCAGATCTGGTGTCTGTCTGTCTGTGGCTGCAGCAGCCTCTCTTGCAGCAGCAGTGCTGGCTTTGTTTGCCACCCCAGTCAGCCAGAGGGCATCCCTGGTGCCTCAACACTGTTTCAGGGATGCAACAAGTACTTGTGCAGTCCAGGAAGGTGTTTGCAGCCCTGACAGGGGAGCAGGTGTGGAAATCCCAGCAAAAGCACTTGTGTGGCTTGGTTTGATTTTGATTTGAGACACCAAATTTGGGCACTGCTGTCTGTCTGAGAGTCGAGAAATCCATTGTTCTGCTGCAGGGGAGCAGTGACACAGTTGCAACAGCAAGTTGTGTGCTAGAAATGAGTGAGCTGGAAGGATCCCAGAGCCAGTAGATCTCTGGGGAGACCTTCCCAGGGTCAGACACACAGGTTGTAGAGGCAGTGAAGCTGCATCAAGAACTCCTTTTGTGCCCCAGAGTGCTCACATTTCTGAGCGTGTCCCTTCCCCCCTCACCAGTGACACATCCCTCAAATCCAGCACCTGCTTCCACACAGTGGTTTGAAAATGTCTCTTGCTACCTGTGAAATAAGTGTAAAACCACTATGAAAAATGCAGCTTTGTTTTTTTTTAAATAATAAAAGCTAAGGAGGAACAGAAGTGTCCCGTGGAGCTGGGCTGTGAGGGGAGCTGCCAGGGGAGATTTCAGGCTTGCAGCTCTCAAAAAAACCCCATCAAACACCTCCCCACCCAAACCCAAACTGCAGCTCTTGTTCTTTGAAAATAAATGACCCCAACAGCTCAGTTCACTCCTGCTGAACTGGAGGCTTCTGGGACTCACTGTGAGTCTCCCATTGACGTCAGCAAGTGCAAATGTAAATCTCAGCTGGCTCTGATAAATGGTGCTGCTAATTGAATTAGAGAGCACTCCAAGCCACCAGCTAATTATGCTCCTCAGGAAGCTGCTTTGCCAAGGTCCATTTAATTCTATATTGGCTGAGTGCTCCGAATCTGGCACAGAAAAAGGGGAAATATATCACAGCTCCCCACTGAGGAGCACATATTTCTCCAGCTCTTTAGGCTGAGCCGTCTGCTTGCTCCAAACACTTGGATTTTCCGTCAAAAAAAAGTAAAATTCTTAGTGCAAAGTGAACGACTGGGTCACCTTGTTGGAGCATATCATCACCCTGGTGTGACAAGGGGCTGTCTCATTCCCTGTGTGTTGCTTGAGTTGTTTTCCCTGCTTCTGTTTTACAAGGAGAAGTAAGGAATGTTTTAAATTACCTCTGAGGTGTGTGTTGGTGCAAAATGTGGCACCTGGAGGAAGTGCAAACATTAATGGGTTTGCAGAGAGCTTTGATCCTGAGCTGCCTGTGTGTGCCTGTGGCTGGGAGGCACTGGGTCCTTCCTGCCCCTGTGGTTCAGCTTCCTCCTGCCTCTTCCTCCTGCCATTCCCTTTTGCCTTCTCCTGCTCCTTCCTGGATTCTGCTGTCCCTGGTGGCTGCTGCTGTTTGGTGTCAGGCTGTGAATTTGGGAGTGGGGGCTGGAACACCTTCCCTCAGTGTTTGCTTCCACCCCAGACCAGCCTCCTGTGGCACCACCAGAACAGGAATGTTGAGCTGCTTTCCCTCAAGTCCAGTGGGTCTCTGACAGAAATAGGCTCAGCACCAAACAGCTCTGCTGGGCTTAGTGGTGACTGGGCAGCCCTGGCTGAACTGGGAGCTGCTGGGAGTGCTGCACTCCTTCAGAATCCAAAAAAACTGGGCAGTCAGACCCCTGGAGTGCTTGTGGCCTTGCTACCAACGTGCTGCTGGGGAGCTGAGTGCTGATGAAGGCTCCACACAATCCCAGTCTCTGGGGGACAAATTTAGAAGCAAATGCAAATAGAACATTCTATATATTCCCTGTCATCTGTCATCCCAGCCCCTTCCATGTGCCATCTGCTGTCTGAGGTTGCTGAGCCTGACGAAGTGAGGTGACAGGAGGTAAAGGTTCCCTGTCTGACTTGAAAGCTCTGTCATGACTCCCTGAGCTGTGGGAGCATCAGCAGCCCTGGGAGAACCAAAGCAGGGCCCTGCTCTGTGCAGTCCCAGCAGCAGAGAGAGCAGCCTCGTGCTTGTGTCCAGCTTGAGTCTCTGTTTCAGTGAGAAAGTTGCTGCTGGGCAAAGCCTGACCTTACAGCTCTGTCCTGGAGCAGATCTGTTGGTGACACCATTCACCATATCCAGGCTTTTTTATCATGGGCTTTTTTGGGAGGTGTGATTCTCAGAGCAGATGAATGTGACTGTGTTTTTAAGGTGCTCTGCCAATGCAAGTAGGTACCACCAAGCTTTTCCTGGATGGTTCCAAGGTCCAGGAGATCCAGGAGCTGCTTGTTCTCAGCTGGATCACAGCAGGGCTGTCTAAGAAGCCTGGGAGCCTCCAGGGAGATGCAGCTCCCAGTGGCAGTTCCTGCCATTGTTCTTTGGCCTGTGATTTTGAAAGATGTCCAGTGCTGCCTTACAGCAAAACACAATTCAGCTTTCTCCCGAAAAAAAAGTGGCTTGAATTGGATGTGCAGAACCTTGGCTGTGCTGCCAGCAGAGCTGGGTGGATTGCAGTGACCTGGGTCTCTGTGCCATCCCTGACCACCCAGCAGATCAAATCCTCCAACAGGTTGATCTGAAAGACATAAAGAGATAAGATGCAGTGCTGAGGAAGCAAAACTCTACCCCAGCCCTTGGTTTCAGCAAGTTGCTCAAATTTGTGAAGCTTTGCAGGGTTCAGTGCCATTCATTACCTTCATCCACTGCACATTTAAACCTGGTTTTACTCTTGGATTACTCAGTGAGAGCACACACAATATTCACAGTGTACCCAGCCAGCACAGCTCCAGCAATTAGCAGCCAAATGAAAGGTACTAATTTCATGCAGCCATTAAGCCCTCCATGCTCGAGTGCTCCACTGGGCCAATTGTTGGAAGTGTTGGGATTGCTGGAACTGGCAGGGCATGGGGTGGGAGCTGGCAGCCTGCAGCACCCTGGGCTTTGGAGCACTCCAGCCCTCCTTAATTCAATACCCTCAGCACGAGAGCAAAGCTCCAAAATGCCAGTGTCCAGCAAAGCTTCTGCTCCTCAGGCATGTGGGGGGGAATGGGCAACCAGAAAGGTGGGGTAGAAAAGGGGAGATGCTGTGGTGTGTCAGGGCAGGGTCAGGTTGGATCCCAGGAAAGGTTTTTCCCCCAGAGGGTGGTTGGGCACTGCCCAGGCTCCCCAGGGCAGTGGGCACGGCCCCAAGGCTGCCAGAGCTCCAGGAGGGTCTGGATGATCCTTTGGGGCACAGGGGGTGACTCTTGGGGCTGGGCCTGTGCAGGGCTGAGGGTTGAACTGGATGGTCCTTGTGGGTCCCTTCCAGCTCATCACATCCTGTGACTCTTTGAAATGCAGCTTTGCACCTTCCCAGAGTGCCCTGAGGAGCAGGACCTGCCTGGCTGGGTGACCCCAAGGGCCCCCTGACTGCTTTTTGGATGTTGATATCTGGGATCTAAGTTTCTTTCAACAATTACACGACCTTTCCTGCCCTCTCTCCCCCTTAATCCTGCTGGAATGGATGGTGGATGGTGGAAGAACTGGTCAGGCTGCTGCTCTGTGGTGATGGCACAAACCAGCTTTGGTCCTGCCAACAAGGAGAAAACTGGGCATTTAAGGATGATTTTCTCCTTTCTTTTTTCCAGGTCCTCGAGGCTGCTGCGAGCATTCTACATCCCCCTCCTCTCTGAGCAGTACACGTGGTACTCAAACTACACCATCCTGAAATCCAGGAGGTCCAGGCAAAGCAGGAAAAAGATGGGAGGCTAGAACACACCTGGGCAGCCAAACCAAAAGCATCTGCTGACACTCTTGGACAGCTGCCCAGGCCATCTCCAGTTCCCTTTTTGAAAGACTGGGCTCCTGAGAACTCTCTGGCAAAGACCTGCCCCGGGGTGCTTTGGCTCTGCAGCTCCAGCCAGGGGGAAGGTGCATCCTCTGCTCTCAGTTCCCACTGTCAGGGCTCTGCTCTGCCCACAGTTGGTAAGAAGCCATTTGAAAATCCAGCAGCCACCCGTGGATGTGTTGTCCCTGCTGCTCCCTGGGTTGCACTGGAAAAGAGAAAAATGGAAAATAAAAAGGAATAATGACAGGATGAGGCTCTGCTCCAGGTTTGCAGTCTGGCACTGGGAAAACCTCAGCTTCTCTCTGTCTCTCTCCTGCCCACCCCTCCAGTGTCCCTCCTCTGCTCCAGCAGTGCTTTCAGTCACCTAGGGAATTTTTTTCAGGTAACAGTGTTTAGGAATTTTCCTTTTTCTTAAAAACAAAAAGTGGTGGGGAAGAGGAAGAACCTGCCTGACAGTGAACTGAGATGCACTGAGTCTCAAGGAATCGTGCACCACAGAGAAACAGCCTGAAGTTGCTCTGTCCAGGAGACACTTTCAAGGATAAACCTGTGCTTTTGGGAGAAAAAAAACCCCCAAACTTAGGAACTGAGACAATTATCTATTTAATGGGATCAGAGTGTTTGTGTTATCTGTGAAACCAAGTGTTTGTTTGCTATTTATAATAATTTTTTCAAGATACCTGTAACATCCTTTCAATTCTAGACTACAGCATCTTAAAAATTCTGAGATCCTCCAGAGAGGAGAAGGATTAATTTATATATATAATTTTTTTTGCAGTTCTGTTTCCCAGAATAGACAGTGTGTGTTACATGGGTCTCATGTGCTTCAGAGCCATGTTGTGATTGTTATGTCTCCATTTTCAAACTTGCAGTGTCCCAGGCTGGATGAAGGGGATTGTTTTCACTCGCATCCCTGGAATTTTTGGGGATGGGGTGGCATGAGAGGGAGTTCTGCCCAAGCTCTGGGGTTAAACTGGTGTGTGTGTGTGCAGTGCCAGAGCAGGGATTTAGGTGCTGGGGAAGTGTTTGGATGCAAAGAGAAAAGCAGGAGCCTCTGAGAACACAGGTGTTGGTCCAGGAGCAAAGCTCAGTGCTGGACAGGACTCATGGGCAGGGGGGGAAGGACAGGCTGGGATCCAACACAGCACTGCTGGGACCAAACAGGAGGAGCTGGATGAGGAGCAAGGCCTGGGTTCAGTCTGGAAGAGGCTCTGAATGCCCTGCATTGCCTTGAGGAGGTTTTTTGGGGGCATTGTGCTCTGCTAAAAGCAGTCTACAAACATGAGATGGTCACAGCACGGAAATGCAGCTCCCTCCCATTGCACCCCCCTGGATGCAGGAGCAGTTTGGAGCTGAGGCTCCACATTCCAGCTTAGAAGACTTAGGGAACTGTGTGTGGCATCTCAGCCTGGACCATCTTCAGGGAAATGTCCCCCTGTGCAAACATCACCCTCCATCGGTGTCAGATGTGGAGCTCTGAGGTTTTCAGCCCACAAACTGGTGTTTGGGGTGAGCTGGTCTGGGGGGTCAGAGCCAGGGTGACATCAGTGTTGTGGTGTCTGTGTCCAGGTCTCCCCCCAGCTCTGCCCCTCAGAGGAGTTCACACAGGGCTCTCCACAGCCAGCAAATCAAAACCAAAACTCTCACCCTGCTTGTTGCCTCTTCCCTCGCTAATCCCCGACCTTAAATCAAATAAAGAAACAAATCCCCGACCTTAAATCAAATAAAGAAACAAATGCAGTTGAAGGACTGGTTGCACCTCTCTCTGGTGCTGTTTGTGTGACTGTTCCATGTTGTCATAGCTCATAACCACATGTTTAATGTGAAAAGACAGTGCAGTAAATATCCATTTTAAATGACTCTGGCTGCTCCACCTTCCTTTCCAGTTGGATTCCTGTTTTGGGAGTGGTGGTGGGGAACTGATAACCTGACAACAGTCAGGAGTTGATCAGCGCTTTCCAGAGGGATGCAGCAAATGTTTGGTTCCTGGGAGTAAGCAGGGGCAATCCATCAATCCCAGCTGAGACCACTGGGAACGAGAAGGTGAAGTGGCTGCTGATGGTGTTTGCAGCTGAAGGCCTGAGCCCCAGGTGAGGTTTGGGGCAGGAGATGCTCAGGCTGCCCTCATTTCCCCATCACTCACAAGTCAGGACCGTTGCACTCTGTGCAGAGCTGAGATGAAGCAAAGAGCCATCGATAACAAGAAGGTTTTTGGGAAATAAAAGAGACTTGTGGAGTGGGAGCATCACGTCCTGAGGAACACGGTGCAGGCACTGCCTGCCTGGATGAAAGTCCCTGTTTTTTTGAATGCAGGTGATGAATGTGAAGAGGATGATGCCAAAGGGTGGAGCTGCATCCAAAACAAAGCATTTTCCTGGGAATGGTCAAGCTTCTCTGTGTCCCCCCCAGCCCAGGCTGGTGGCCAGTGCCGTTGCTGTGGCACTTGCCCTGCCTGGATGAGCAGAGAGGGATTCTCTGGGGAGTTTGCTCTGCCCTGGGTGGAGATGGAGAGGCTGCCAGTGAAGAGCAGGGTGGGGAGCTGAGCCCTGCAATCCTTCTGCCTCAGAACACACTGTCCAGGTGCTGCCCAGCCCAGCCCAGCCCTGTTCTCTCCCTTGGACCAACAGGAGGCTGTTTTGACCTTTCCTGTTTTCAACCCTCCCCTCTGCCTTGGCTGGGGAAGCTGCACTTTCAACACGTGTCTGAGTCAGCAGGAAACAAATCCAGGGCCACTGGATGTGGGGTTTGTGGGGGGTTCAGGAGCAGTTGCCCACAACACTGCCAGGTCTGGTTTGACACCACTGGTCGAGGCGTGGTGGTGACAATCTGCAGACTTGGGGTTTCGCCTTGGTTTTGGGGACAGGTGCCTTCCCAAATCCCTGACATCCTTGGCTTCCCACCTTCCCAGCTTCTGGGGAATGTGCTCTTGGGACAGGCAGGAGCTTTCCAGCAGCTTTGTGCAATGCTGGCTGAATCACACGATAAACAAGCCCAAACCCTATTATTAGACTTTGGAAACTGCTGCCTTAGAGACAGGTTTGCTTATAAATATCCATTATTTTCTCCCTGGCTCTTCACTAGGGAAGCTGGCAGGGAAAAGGGATCTCTGCTCCTCCAGAGTCTGTCTGCCCCTGCTGTCTTTGCTTCTTCCCACCTGAGCTCATCCTCCTCTCCCTTCCAGCTTCCCAAGCTCCAGCTGTGGGAATGGGACACCCTTTCCAACAACAAGCGGCCTTCTCCCCATCCCAAACCTACTCAGCATGGATCCCCTGGCATTGCCACCTGCTCTGTGCCTCTGGCAGCTGTTTGCAGCAGTACTGGAGCTCTGGGGTGTTTTATCAACCCTTGCAGGGCTGGTTTGCTATTTTGTGAGCTCAGGAGTTGCTCCAGGGAATTGGGTTCAGCCTTTTGTCAGAACCCAGGGCTCCTCTTCTTCCCTACCCTTGTTGGGTAATGCTGTGCTGCACAAAACAGCCCCAGAGCTGCTCAGACACCCTGTGACATTCTCTGTGTAAAACTGGGGCAGGGACTGAATAGCCAGGACACGCTGTAGGCTTGGAGGAGGGATAAATGAGATGGTTTTTAATGATTAAAGGAATGTTCATCTCTCTTCTAATAGATATTGCTGTTAGGGGTATGGGGAGGGCTGGTTTCTCATCCTTTCTCCAGGTGACAGACCAGAAACGTGGCCTGAGCCAGTTCCACTGGGTACCAAGTAGAAACCAGGAGCTCCCATGAAGAAGGAGAGTGATGCAGGGCTATGAATCTCTGCCTCAGGCCTTGCTGGTGAGTTCCAAGGAGTGGCAGAGGTGAAAGACTGTGTAGAAGCGGCATTAGGAAGAGAATTTTTCAGCTTTTCAGCCACAATGAGGGTGGCAGAAGACACAGAGACTGTGGAGGAGATGTGAGAGGACAGGAGGTAGAACCATGTGGAAGCAAAGCTTGTGCTTGTGTGAAGAGATTATGTTGGCTGGGGCATCTGAGGGAGGGATCTGGAGGACTTGCCCCACAGAAAACATGTTCATTTGCTCTCAGCTTCTTCCATCGTTTCCTCTCAGCTTCCAAGCATTTTTGGGATCCTCCAGCTTCTCGTGCTTCCTGTCCAGCATCCCCTGCAGGCTGGTGGTCGGGGTGGCACCTCTGGTGGGGGGAGGACAGCGGTTTTAAGCCCCCGTTCCTCCCTTCCAGCCCCAAGGCAGTGGGTCCCCGGTGGGAATTAGCCCAGGTTAACCCCACTCCGGCTGGGAAACGCTCCTCCAGCCGCTTCCTCAGGCTCCCGGGAGAGGGCATCGTGCTCCAGGAGAACTGGGAAGAGACGGGGTCCTTCGGGATGAGAGTCCTGGGGATGGAGGGAGGAACTGGGGCTTTTGCTACAGGTGAGACCGTGGCTTTCAGGACTAAAACTTGCACCCTCCTCTGTGCTCCCGTGGTGCCTCCCAGGAGCTGTTCCTCCTTATTTCAGTAGCTTCCCTAAAGTCCTTCTCCTGTGCTGGTCCTGTCTGTGGGGCTGTCTCAGGCTGCAATACAGATAAACTGTGTGTGTGGGCATCCCACCAGTCCCTCAGATGTCCTGGCCCATCCCAGGAAAGCATCTCAGTGGGTCAAGGTCAGCGAGAACTGTGCTCTCAACCAGGGCCTCCTGTCACAGCAACTCCCTTCCCATTGTTAAACCTCTCCTGCCTAATTGGGATTATTTCTGGATCTCGTTTTCCCCAGAGGAGAAATTATTGACAGATAATCCATGTCTGTACGGAAAACTAATGATTAATTGCTTCCTCTCCATTAGGGCTCCCTGGCCTCTGTCTTGCAGAGTTTGCTAACAAACACATTATCTCCCTGGCAGTCCAAAATAAATACTTGTCCTCATGTGGGAGCTGGTGTGGAATCATCCAGGGCTGTGCTTGTCTTTCCCAGCAATGACAGGCCTGGAGATGGGGATAATTGTGGAGGATGAGGTGCAATCCTTGCTCACTCCTTTTGGCCACAGGTAGGTGAGAGGGAACAGTAATTTAGGGAAGAAATGGGTGGTCTGCTTTCTGCATTTCGTGAAAATCTGGAGAACGAGGCAGAACTAACTGCAGGACCCTTTTTATTTTTCTTTTTTTACACCATAAAAACTCCCTGGAATTTTGGCCACAGCACATGTTCCACGGTACCCAGACAGGGAGGTATTTTCTCCTGAACACAGGGGAAATAAAGCTGAAGGGAGCTCGCCCAGAGTGCGAGGGTTAAGGGGGCTGCCTCTGGAATGGCAGCACATCCTGTGACTTTTCCTGCTGAGTTCCCAGACGCATTTCCCTGGACTCTGTGCCTGGCAGTGGGGTGATGGAAATGGTCGGTGTGTTTTTGTGCTGGGTCTCCATGCCCTAAAATAGCTTTGGCCAGTCCTCTCCATCAGCTGCCTGAGATGCTGATGGTGCTTGGACAGTGAATTCTGCCAAGGGAAAACCAGAGCAGGCAAAAGCTGAGCTGTTCAACCTCTGGAGAGGACTCCTTGACAAAAGAGGGCAGAGCAGTGTCCCACATGTCCCCAAGAGGAGCTGGGTTCATTTCCTGCTCTCCTGGAGCACTGGCTGTTCCTGGTGATCTGTTCTGACTCCATGACCATCCTCTGGAGGACCCACCTCTGCTCTCCCAAGTGCCGTGGAAATTCCCTGTGTGGTTTTTGTCACAGGAATTCCTTGTGTGATTTTAGCTTTACTCCCTGGAGGCTGCAGACACCTCAGGCTCTGGGACTCCTTTGCCCATGAACAGACAGAGCCATTGTGCAGGTCAATCCCCCAGCACCACCTTCCCAAAATATTTCCTCTGTGAGCCCAGTGAGCCTTGGGAGGGCTCCTCCTCCGTGCCCTCACCAAAGAGGAGGATGAGCTGGCTTTTTCCAGCTAACCAGTCAATATTTACTCTCCCAGGCAAGCTGTTAAAATGCTGCTGCTCTCTTGTTTTGGTGTTTGTTTCCCCTGCCTTGCTGGAATATTGCCCCAGAGTCTCCCACACTGGCAGCTCCTGTTTGTGCCACGGTGGCTCGTGGGCGTTCGGCAGAGACAGGGTTTGTGGGAGCCTTCCAGAGGCTGCCAGGTCACGTTGGCATCTTCTGCTCGGAGTGTGGAGTGGGTTTCAGCCCATCTGCTTCGGGAAAGGCTGGAGTTTGGGAAGGGAAAGCCACGGGATCGTTTATTCGACCCCGAGGTGAAGTCTTGCTCCCGTTGAAGTCCAGGGGGGAAGGTGACAAGGATGCTCTCCAGCAACAGCTTTTTTGGGAGTCCTGAAGTCCTGAGAGACAACCTTGGTCGTGTTGGAAATGGATTTTTGGTGACACCACCGTAGCTGGAGCTCTGTCACTGCAAGTCCCTGCTCTAGCAGTCCTCTCTTTATTTTCAATTATTGTGACACTTAATTTCCTTATTACTGCAATTTCCTACAATCCCCAAGCTTTTTTTTTTTTTTCCAGAGAGGAATTACATTTGCTGCCCTGCCCCTCAGTGCAGTCGCTGTTGCCTTTCTGGTTCACTAACAAGAAGCTTGAAGATCTTCTCTGGCAAATTATTTGATTTGTTAAAGTTATTTGGCTCCAGCAAGAAACTTTTCTCCTCCACTCGCAGGGGAAGGCAGCCTGGTCCTTAATTGCTTTCTGCAGCTCAGCCAAGTGAAATCCATCTTCATGCCCTCACAGCTGAAGCCAAAAAAAATATCCCCAATGGTCCCTTGTGCTCTGTGACTCCTCACTGAGGGAGCCTGTTCCAAGCGTGTGTCTCTCCTGGGATTTATAACCACTGGGAGAGCTGCTTGATGAGGAAGATTTAAAGCTCTTGTGTGCAGAGAGAGCTCCACGGTGGTTTGAAGGGTGGTTTGCCCTCGT